CGGCTACGCATTTAGCGCATTACACACACATCCCGCGCAATGCAGGCTGCATGGGACAGCAGGAATATGTGGTTTACGGACTACTAATTTTCCCCAATGGTCCTGCCGCGATGGCTAGAGCACAGGCGTTTAGAAAACGGGTGGGGACCCACGAGAGAACGCAGAGGCGGTTCAAAGGGCTCAGTTCAAGTAGTCCGTCGACCAGGGACATATGTGCCTCGCACCCAATTCAATGATTTTTCTCATGTTTTTATGATTTGTTTTTTTTTTGAATCGCATCTCATCATAAATATTTTTACGATTTGGGGCGCGGCCGCGGCGAGCGCGGCCGAGTCGATAGTGCCCGAACTGTGCGGGTAAATTTGAAAACGCTCACCACCACAGTTCGCGGGCACTATCGACTCGTCCGCGCTCGCCGCGGCCGCGCCCCAAATCGTGAAGAAAGTGGGGGAGCTCATAAACGACGTGCTCTACAAAATGGTTTGATATTGCTCTACAAAATGGTTTGATATACGTAACTTTAGTGGATATTTCTGAGCCTCTTGTAATGATCGGTTCGCTCAATTTCTGTTTCTTTCGTTAACGTAATAAAAAAATGGAAGAAGTAGAATTCTATGAGTGGCAAGATGTGTGATTTCACCGAAACAATCAAACAACAAATGCTCAGGTTGTCCATTGCAGTGAGAGCTAATAAGTTTCGCTTTTCGTTGCCATTTCACATCATTTATGTCAAAATTCCTCTTCCCTACGTCTGGATAATTTCTACCCGTTGATCATTACTGAAATGCTTTCGCAGCGTTCATGCTCTAAGTTTACCACTCAATTACGCGTATGTGAGGTTCGGGAGCTTCACTGGAGAAATTGCGCCACCTCCTCGTGGCCACAAACGCCAAATGCGCGATATCGCCACTGTGACAGGGGTACCCGTCAGGAGCCCTCCCCGCGCGGCGAGAAGGCAAGAGACGCAGATGGGTCAGCGGACGAGTCGCAGCGCGTACTGTGCGATGTGGGACGTACTATAGTACATTCTATTTAACTTGACGCTAAATCGCTACAGTACGCGCTGCGACTCGTCCGGTGACCCATCTGCGTCTCTGCCTTCTCGTCACGCGACGGGCCTTCTGTTGGGTACGCATGCGACACTGCGGCAAATATTCCCTTTTCGTTATAAGCCTGTTTGAGGATTACAGCTTTGGGAGATAGAGGCAGATGCCGAGGTGCGTGGAAATTCCCATTTACCCTGTGTTCCTCTCCTTTTCACTCAGTCTCGTAGGATGCTTCTCCTCCCCTCCCCCCTCCCCCTTTGCGATAGCGCCGATTAGTGTAGCTAGCTCGTTTGGCTATTGGTACATAATGGACATTCTGTTGATTGCATTTGATCGTTTGAAAGGGTTAAGTTTTATTTCAGCAAATATGTTATGGATCGGATGATGAGGATTTAACCCGAGGGCATCATGCGAATTCAGATCGTGATCCTCGCTATGATCACATCAGGAAAGCAGTTGAGCGGTAGGTATGCTGCTAAATAAGGTGTTTGGTTGTGCCGTTGTTCATCCATACGCCTGCTGCACAGCACTCATGACCAAGAATTCATTTTTAACTTTTTTGTGTACTGGCAGCTGCTTTAACGCCGCAGTTCGCCTTGAGAATGTATCAGAACGCTGAATGCAGCACTACTGAAAAACTACGTTTGCGGACTTTATGTGTGGACTTTATTTCACGTAGTGTTAATCCATACCTTCTTTAAAGTTTGTATGCTTTTCATTTCAATGAATACCTTTAGTGGTGGTGCACCAGATGAACCATTACTTCCTCCAGAGGACCATGTACGAGAGGGCATTGTGTTCGAATATCTCAATTACTACGAGGTAAGCTGCGTTTCGAGCGTCTTCGACTTTCATATTTGTTTTGAGATATACTGTCATTCGATATACTTTTCACTTGTGGTAGTGCCCATGGTATACTAAGCGTTTTTTTTCAAAAAAAAATTTGAAATCAAACCAGAAGTTCGTACGTAACATTCTCGGCTAACAAAGAGGTCCCTAAGGAGGAGAAGCAACAGTAAGCAGGTGTCAAATTTAGACCACTTGCTAGCGATCTGACGCTTGCCTTGCTGGCCGAAACGGTTGAAAAAGGAAATTCCAAAGAAAAAAGTCGATTTCAAAATCACTGACTGATCTCCGACGTTCAGAAGTTCGCTCTGTCCAGAAGGACGTGAAAGAATGTATCTGTGACTCATACGCAATCCCCTTTGAGAGCTGACTATGTACAATCTGGTACTGGGCCGATATGTATTATAGTAGTGACCTCATTACAGTGACCGATGGACAACCTAAATCCTGAAAGCAACACGCCATATTGTTACAGCGAGAGTATCAACCTTGATTATCTGACAGCAGAAGCTGTTATGAATGTTGCGGGCAACCACGCCACTTCATCAGTACGAGAGGGTACTTCAGGAGGTCCGCAGCAGATTTACAACCAAAATGTCACTAAATTTTACAAGAACTCAT